GATTCAGGTAAGAGTTCATTTAGGTATAGGCAACTTCTTTACAGGGCATAGGGCAGGTCAGGGAGGAGATAAGTAGCACAATGGCAGGTAGAGCAGAAAGCAGAGCAGGAGGTGGAGCAGGAAAAGGGATCAGAGTGGCACTTGAGAAGGATATGAGGCTAACCTGTGGCCCCCACTGGCCAAACCTTTAGACAGGATAGCCAAGCACATATATATTGGACATTCAGCCTCATAAGGCTGGGTTTAACTGCAGCTCTGCCTGGGCAAGTTAAGTCTGTACAAAGGTTGCCTCTACCCAAGACCTGCCAAGCTTCTGGATGAGGGAGGGTAGGCCTTAGGCAATAAGATTTGTAAAGTAAACTTTCTTTTGTGCAGCTCAAGTGGTAAAACCAGAAGTTCTAGCTGTTGCCTTTGGTCTCAGCTCCTCAAATCGTGGCTGGAGGATATTTTTGGAGACAGGGGAGTTGTACAGGGCGTTTTAGCTAGATCTGGTCACACCCTACCCACATCACACAAAGCAAGCAATGAAGAGGTTTCCTTTTTGATGCATGTTCAGGCTGAGAACTTCTAATAGGTAGAAGACTAAAAACTTTGGGAGATGAATTGTAGTAGGAGCCAAGCTGCTTTATCATCGTTCAATGATCAGGAGCAATCACTTAGCTGCCTTAAAAAAAACAAAAACAACACCCCCCCCCGCCCTTTCCCCCACCCCCCTTTAAAAACAAAAACAAAACAAAAAACTTGAAAGTTGGAAGCATTATTTGTTTCTACAGGCCTAAAAGCAGCCATCATGATTGCTTTAGACTTCAGCTCTTTAAATTCCATTTAAAAAATGCTGTAGCATTTCTGAAAGAAAATAAATATTTAAAAAAAAGAGCTCAGATAGTCACTACTGAGACTTGTGGCTAAAGCTGGTTTTTCTATAAAATTATTGGTCATTTGATGCTTTCAAGTCAAGGCGCACACCCATACCTTCTGAGATTTGCTTGCTAGGAGATCATTATGCCTTGCTGAACTGGGAAAATGTGGTGACGCTACCAGAATACCACAGAGTTATGCCAAAATAACTCCTCCTCACAGTCTGTTTTAGGAGTAGAAGGGACTTTGCTCTAAAACAGTGGCTGGCTTTCAGGCTGTGGTCCACAGATTAGGTCAAAGGGGTCTGTGAAAGAGGACTGTGATCAGGTCAAAATTATGTGAATACCCACACCTCAATTTGAAATTCCTGAGGGGTCTGCAAATGGAAAAAAGATTAAAAACTACTGCTGTAGAGGCATCTACATAGAAGAACTAGGCCTCTCATTTGCTCTTCCAGTAGCCACTCCCCCATTTTTATATGTTCACATGAGTAAACCAGATTACTCACCAGCTGTTTCCACCTCCCTATTCCTCACTGCCCCTTGAATACTAGGTGGCCAGTAGCAAGGACTCTGCAATATCTTATTTGACCAACTGTATAGGTGAGACAGCTGTTCTGAAATGACCCCAGAAAAAGCACCTATTTTCTGTTCACCTTAGATTTAGGAGCACCCTTGCTCGTGTTGCATAAATTGCTGATTTTATCCCCTGAAGCCTAGTCCAATTCACCTCTAGAAGAGAGTCACACTTTCA